CAATAACCCATAACTATTGAACAGGATACATGCTAGGAGCATTCCATTACTGCAGTCCCTTCTCATTCTTAGCCACGCACCGATGTAACGTACATTCAAACAGATGTCACAAAGGTGCAGAAATTTAAGACAGCTACACTTAAGTACAGCACTTAACACGTAAATGAAATTTTGCTAACTTAAAAAACTTTATAAGTGGTTTAAGTTTACATTTGATATTTCAAGTAATATTCTTTAAGTTCTTAAAATAAATATTACATCCACATCATCCTCAAGGCATTCCCAGTTTAATAAGGCACAATTAAATAGTAATAGAAGGACACATTTCAGAATTTCCTTGTTTGTAATCTTATAAAGGTTGGAACAAGCCTATCATGTTGTTGTATCACATTTCTGGAGCACTAGCAGACCAAAAGCAGTTTGCTTGCCATTTTGGACTGTACCTTATAAGGAAATTGTTAAAGTGGCAGCCATAAACTAATGGGAGCAGTATTAAGCTCCTAAAACATATAGTCATGCAGCACCCTAAATCAGAGCGGACAGAACTAACTCCTTACTAATGTACTTCCTATAGAACAGAAAACAAACAAGCAAAAAATCACAAAGCACCTCTATTTGCTTGACGGCCTTTCTCTAGTCCTCTCTAGAATTAATGTGGGTTAGTTTGAGAATATTGTGAAGCAATTTTGAAACTGTCAAATGTTTAGACTTTGTAGAATTTTGTCTTGATGTCGTAAAAGGTAAAAAAAAAAAAGTTAGACAAAGAAAAACTGTCTTCCCTTTGTAAACTGAAGATTTGAAGCTGATTCTTTCTTTCCAAAGCCCTGTCTTTGTGCGTCTTATTTTTCCTAATTAAATTTTTCCCTCCCTCCCCAAAATAGCTTTACTTTGGTTAGGAACCCATAAACTGAAGGTGCAAACAACGAAGACCAGGAAAAGTTTCAAGTTTTCTCTTTTAAACAGCAAGTTTCCATATATGATTATATCTCATGTGACATTTGTTTTGATTTGGAAGCATAGAAGAGAGATTATCTAAAACAGAGCATGTACTTCCAATTAAATTTTAACTGCCTGCATATCCCAGGTATATTTTGACCACAGCATTCATGTCTGAAAAGTGTCAACTTAGGCACACTGGCTTTTTTTGCCTCCACAGGAAAAAGAATGTAAGACTGAAATGGAAGGAAAATAAAAACATGAAGATGTCCAACACTTCTATGTAGGCAGCTTCTTTCAAGAAATTAAAGTGTGAAAAAGAGAAATGGGTAGAGATGAGGAAAACAAACAAACAAAAAAAAGCAGGGGGAAAAAAAAAAAGACACAGACTCACTGTACCATAGTAATAACATTACAATTACTGGTAATGAGGCAAGCAGGCTACAAGTAGGGAACACCTCCATCAGACTAAAATTCTTTCATTCAATGGAAGACTGTTTTCTGGTACCCTTTTTGGCTTCACTAATTCTTGTCACTTAAAGATAAATGCTTTGGATTTCTCTATCAAAGCAACAATTTTTTTTTTTTACTTTCTAAGACTTAGGTGTCTATATAAACTTCCACAGAAGAAAATGAATGTCATGAGGCCCTGTATTTTTTTCTGGAAGTACAGAAAGAAATAATAAAATCAAGGATATGTTGCCTTTTGTTTTAAATACTAGAGGTTTAATTAGGTCTTGTGTGCACCAGCACTGCTTTCCAAACTCTTGAGCCTTTTCAACCTATGAAAATAATACTTGATTGCAGCACCTGCAGAAATACTTAACATTTGTTAAAAACCTGTGCATTCTGAGATTACACAAGCCAATGTAAATCTCAGCCCACAAGTGAACGTGGTACCTGACTGAAGTTAAAGGTTGCTAAATGTCCACTGGACCCCTGAAGCTCCCTTCTCTAGCTGGAGTTGCATGTTGTAAGCTGTAACTTGGGCGTTTGACCACTGAACACACATCTATGGCTCATTTCTCTTTCTGCATTCATAAGTCACATATGACAAATGCAGATCTGTGGATAACCACTCTTTCTTTGAGGGACAAGATTAAAACACGGACGTGACACTGTGGTGAAGTGTTTTAACATACAAGAGGTAACAAAATCGGAATTACAGTTCCAGAGCTACGCTATCCCTTAATACGTTTAGGTTTTGCATAAAAATACATAATGAAGCAGAATTAGTTATGGTTCCCATGGAAACCATAACTGATTTTCCTGACCTGTGCAGCAAAATTCTCAACATCATCAAAAGATTAAAAATACTGCATTCACAGATTCTTTCCTCTCTCTCTGGCACCCCCTCCCCAGGCTGGCTAACTCCTTCTCTTCCTCAAATTAGGGAAAAGTGGGCAATCAACTACTAACAGAAAGTTCAGACATTCACCTTGGCGAAATCTTTTAAAATAGTTTGTTGTCGTATAATATAAGGGAAGCACTCCATTGCACTTCTAAGCCAGGAGTTAATACAAGTTTTTAATATATCTCAATCTGGGTCAACCAGTAATCATTTCAGTCAATTTAAGAACAGGCCTTTTGAGTGCATTATAAATCAGTTGTTCTGCTATCCAAATTTTGAATTTTGTTCTGCTATCCAAATTTTGAATCGTACACTTGTATTTTTGCTTACTTCCCTGCCTCAACCTCAAGATGCATCTCACACTATACTTTTTCAGTTCTCTTTCACAAAACTATACATCATTATTAGTTGAATGGTAACCAGCAACCAATTGCCCTTAGAAGTCCATATTTTAACGTCAAGCAAAGCTTTACAGGACTTGAGATCCATGAATGCATCATTAAAACGGTCCAGGAGGGGTTGACATCTGATAATCTCTGCTCCTATGAAATTCAAAGAAACTGTTATTTGTTAAAAATCATTTCAAAAGGCATCTTAACTACGCCACATTATTTCCCAGTAACGTTATTTTTCATCTGTAAAGACTGCCTTTTCTCAGGCAATTAGTTTTCTCCAAATACACTGGGAGAAATTAAATGAATACATGATTTGGATTTTATTTTTTTACATATATGATGAATTACATGGTGTGCTGAAAGGAGGCTAAAAAAATCCTTAGTGTTTTCTACTGTAGGACAGATGAAATAGTGCAGAGTCCTTTAATTTTATTTTTTTTTTTCCCAACAAGCCTCTTTAGAAATGGCAGATTTATTAAAGCCAAAGACAATGTCCTTTCTAGTAGCCTTACTTTCTGGATCTGAAATTTTGGTCAGAATAATGCTGGGGAGGGGAGATGTGGATGTATCTTTTAAATGGAGATGCCAAGTTATAAGTTTGAAGAAAAATATGTTGATTAAATCCTTATATACTTTAGGTGTGCATGAACTTACCAATGTAGTTTTATTGGAGGCCATTTTTATTGCAGACTTGCAGAGCTTTTACTAGAAAAATGCATGACAATTAAAAGGAAGTTTACATTACTGAAAGAAAGGCATCCCAATACAAGCATGGTCCTTGTTCCAACCCCCATGTATTCACTACATATAACATTTCTAATACGGATTAAATCCAGAACAAGAAGTAGGTTACTACTTTGTCCGGCATAACCCAGTAACGCACCATTATGCTAGCCAGGATAAACTATACTGACAAAGTGGTACATAGGGTTGAAAAAAGGTTTTTCCCAAGGCCTTCTAAGGCATAGAGATGTTTCTAGGGAAAAGGGGGAGGACCATCAGGGATGCTTATTTCCTTAAACCCAATAGAACAGGAGTTCAGATTCTAGCAGTTAATCAAGATATACCTAGGTATATTAACTGCGTATCTGGTGGGGAGCAGCTACATATCTGTGGTGTAATAATGAGTCACCCATTACTCTTACACGGTAGTAAATGCTTATAAACGGCAAATATTTTCCTTAATGCAACTATAACGTTGCCTTCCGATTCTCAAGTTTGCAAGAGTTAAGGCCCTAGAGCAACATTAACTCAGCTAAGCTGTACATACTAGATATTTAACCTCCACAGACGATGCTGAACACAATCCATCCCCTTTTCCATGTCATTTCTCATACCGGGCACCTCCTTAGGCATGTATTGTCCCCGCCCCACTGCAAACTATAGAACTGTTAGAATTCCCCATATGCCTGGGCAAGGCAAAAGAGAGAGTCCTTCAAGGCCAGAAAACCTCCCGGACTCGGCAATCCCGCCCAAATCTCCCCCGACGCGGGAGGTGGGTTTTGGCAGTCCTACAGGCAGTGGGGTAGGTGAGCTGGGAGAAGGGCAGGGGCTAGGGCCCCAGCGCAGAGGGGCTCGTCTCGTCCCCGCTTGGAAAGGCAGGAGAAAGGGGAAGAGCGACAGCAATAACAACAATAACAAAACCCCCGTGCCGCCCCCGCCAGAAGATAAAGGCGGCCCTGCGGAGGCCTGCTGGGGGAGGCTGCGCCTCGGGCCTATGGTGGGCGCACGTGAGGCCGGCGGGGACGCCCCGGGCGAGCTAACGGGACTGCCCCGGGCGGCGCGGGGCCGGCCCGCCGCCCCACT